CGGCGTGCAAAAGGTATTACAATATACGGATGTACGGCCCAGATGCATGTATACATAGATATACGCACTAGGATTGCCTACTGTACTTTTCCAGAAGCAGCAGCCCTATCGGTACCATATCATATCATACCATACCATACCATATTCATTCATTCAAGGATCCCCCAGAAGTATTTTGTAGAGGCTGGAAAGGGCAGTAGCATCGTACATCGTATATAGTTGTTGCTCTGCATCCAAATTGAAACTTCGAATGCCGCCACCAGTAGTAATCGGTCCGTGCACTCCATCATATATGAATATATGAATGGAATCCCTACTTTCTTCTGTCGCATTGCGGTTCGTGCTGCATCCACCCATCAAACTACCGTAGTACCGTAATGATGAAGAATATGGGATCGCTGGAGAGGAGTATCTTCAAAATCAGATGATTGATTGATTGGTGGATTCATTATCGTCCTTGTACTGGTACTGGTACTGGTACTGGTACTGGTACTGCACACTGTATACAACGTCAATTGTTGATGAACTGCTTAGCTCTGCGTGCGTGGTTACTCGTATCTTCAATGTTCCAAATGCTGCATGCTGTATTTGATTGCACGCGCGTGCCCGTCATCAAAGTCATCTATCCTCATCATCATCACTGACTCACTCATTACACAGCAGTACAGTATATTACACAATAAAAGTACCGGGTACAATGGACGAGAAAGAAGAAATGCCACCAAAATCAAACAACGATGATGAAGAAGAAGAGATTGTCGAATATGTCGAATTTGTGTACGATAGTGAAGACAAAGAAATCACAGACGAAATCAGACGAACGGTGACAAAGTTGATTGTGCGCGGGCCTAATGTAAAGACGATTGGAAAGGAGGCCTTTGAGGAATGTGAAAACCTGAGAGAAATTGATTTCACCGAGGCAACTGCTTTGGAAACGATTGGAGAATTTGCCTTTTACAATTGTCCTAGTCTCCTTGCTTTCAAGTGCCCATCCGATGTAAAAACTATTTAGGAGGGGGCCTTTGTGGAATGTGATAAGCTGAGAGAAATTGATTTCACCGAGGCAACTGCGTTGGAAACGATTGGAGATCTAGCCTTTTGCCTATGTCCTAGTCTCCTTGCTTTCAAGTGCCCATCCAATATCAAGACTATTGGACAGCAGGCCTTTGACGAATGTGCTAAGCTCGAGGAAATTGATTTCACCGAGGCATCTGCGTTGGAAACGATTGGAGATTCAGCCTTTCGCAGTTGTCGTAGTCTCCTTGCTTTCAAGTGCCTATCCAATGTCAAGACTATTGGAGAGCAGGCCTTTGCGAAATGTGAAAATCTAAAGGAAATTGATTTCACCAAGGCAACTGCGTTGGAAACGATTGGAAATTCAGCCTTTTGGAAGTGTCCTAGTCTCCTTGCTTTCAAGTGCCCATCCAATGTCAAGACTATTGGAATGGCTGCCTTTATGAACTGTGAAAATCTAGAGGAAATTGATTTCACCAAGGCAACTGCGTTGGAAACGATTGGAGATTCAGCCTTTCGGAAGTGTCCTAGTCTCCTTGCTTTCAAGTGCCCATCCAATGTCAAGACTATTGGATGGATGGCCTTTGCGGAATGTGCAAAGCTAAATGAAATTGATTTCACCAAGGCAACTGCGTTGGAAACGATTAGAGAAGCTGCCTTTTACAAGTGTCCTAGTCTCCTTGCTTTCAAGTGCCCATCCAATGTCAAGACTATTGGAGACGAGGCCCTTATGAACTGTGAAAACCTAGAGGAAATTGATTTCACCAAGGCAACTGCGTTGGAAACGATTGGAAACCAAGCCTTTTACGAGTGTCGTAGTCTCCTTGCGTTCAAGTGCCCATCCAATGTCAAGACTATTCGAGATGAGGCCTTTAGGGGTTGTGAAAAGCTAAAGGAAATTGATTTCACCGAAGCAACTGCGTTGGAAATGATTAGAAAGCTTGCCTTTATGTTTTGTGAGAATCTAAAGGAAATTGATTTCACCGAGGCAACTGCGTTGGAAACGATTGGAAAACAAGCCTTTGACGAGTGTGCAAGTCTGCTTGCTTTCAAGTGCCCATCCAATGTCAAGACTATTGGAGAGCAGGCCTTTGCAAAATGTGAAAATCTAGAGGAAATTGATTTCACCAAGGCAACTGCGTTGGAAACGATTGGAGATTCAGCCTTTCGGAAGTGTCCTAGTCTCCTTGCTTTCAAGTGCCCATCCAATGTCAAGACTATTGGAGAGCAGGCCTTTGCGGAATGTGAAAATCTAAAGGAAATTGATTTTACCGAGGCAACTGCGTTGGAAATGATTGGAAAACAAGCCTTTGACGAGTGTCGTAGTCTCCTTGCTTTCAAGTGCCCATTCAATGTCAAGACCATTGGAGATGAGGCCTTCGCGAAATGTGAAAAGCTCAAGGAAATTGATTTCACCGAGGCAACTGCGTTGGAAAGGATTGGAAAGTTTGCCTTTATGTTTTGTACAAATCTAAAGGAAATTGATTTCACCAAGGCAACTGCGTTGGAAATGATTGGAGATAAAGCCTTTTTCATGTGTCCTAGTCTGCTTGCTTTCAAGTGCCCATCCAATGTCAAGACTATTGGAGATGCTGCCTTTCAGCAGTGCGAAAGTCTACAGGAAATTGATTTCACCGAGGCAACTGCGTTGGAAACGATTGGATATGGAGCCTTTTTCGCGTGTCATCATCTTGAAACCTTCTACTTTGCTCCCCATGTGACGGTTGTCCCCAAGAATATCCTCGCAGACTGCTTCAATCTCCAATCTTTGAAGATTCCTAGTGCCAATCCAGCGATTCATATTCGATTGCACAAAGCACTCGAGGAAAATAAAAAGCATTTGATCGTCTTGAATGATATAGTGAATGTCTATGCTTGCAATCCAATCAAGAACTCCGAATTGCTGGAGAACTCGGGGGACGAAAAATCAATTCTTCACCAAGTGAGAGCAATGTATATTGGTTCCATTGTCGATGGTACACGTCGTTTGGGTTCGATTCCGGAACGCAATGGGTGGTTGCAATTCTTGTCGAACAATATGGGCGACGGAACGGATGACCCAGACATGAGCAAGTTATTGGACTATCTTGAAACTGTGGATATCAAAAGAGTCCGAGAGCTCGCCGAGACCAAGGATCAATCAGATCGTGCTGCAAAGTCGGTGGCATCCAAACACATCCAAGAAGTGTTTGAAAAACGATTGTTCTTTCTCGGCCGATACGATATTGCAAGAGGACCACCCATTCACCAGTCGGCAACTTGTGTTGTGGTCAAGGCAACGGATGCCAAGATGAGGGAGTACTTTGAAAAGAAGTATGAACCATATGAAGGAATAGAAGTTGGCAAGAAATTGTTCCAGGAGATATTGGGCAAGATGGAGTTGATCCCACACGACAAGGAAAACATCAAGGGTCTCTTCCAACGGGCAGATGTCAAAAAAGATGAAAAAATTTCCAAAGAAGAGTTTGTGGACTTTTGCTTGGCCGAAATTGGTGGGACTGTGGTTCTAAAGTTTATGCGGAACAAGGACCAGTTTCGCCGAGAAGTGAACTGCCGCATAAACAATAAACTGGATTCGAAATATGTGGTTGGTAGTATCCGAAGCCATGATAAAGAGAGTGATGCCAATTTGGTCGAATCACTAAAGGACTCAATCCTACAAGAAGATGGTAACGGTACATCATCATTTCTAAAGAAGGAGGGTGCCAAGGCAGAGGATTACTGCAATGTGTTGGTGATGCCTTATGGAGAACGGAATTTGGACACAATCTTCCGAAGTGAGCGGCTCGATATTCTGACAATTCAAACACTGATGAAGGAGATTGGAAAAGCGGTGGCACACCTACACAAGCAAGGACTGATACATGGGGACTTGAAGATGTTGAACGTCATCCGCATAAATGGGCACATGGTGTTGATTGACATGGATGCTTCTGCAAAGATTGGTGAGGATTTCGCTGGTGAGAAGTATTCGTCCGGTGTCATTCCACCTGAAATGATTTACCAGCTGGCGAACTATAAAGAGAAGGAAAAATATGTTTCCTACTTCCAAGATCAAAACAAAGAAGAGCAACAAAAGCGTGCCCCAAAGTTCACCACCAGAAGCCCCAAGATCGGATATGCAGTCAAATCATTCTTGGGACATGATGAGACGACAACATTTGAGGATCCAGAGACTGGAAACACTGTCCCTAAAACAAAACGTATGGTGACCTCAAAAGGTAACTTACCGATGTTCGAGGTGGTTGGTGCGGATAGTTCGTTCGATGTCTGGTCTTTTGGCGTTCTCCTGTATACGTTGTGCAGCAAGCACACTTTGTTCCAAGTGAACACTGATGATGATATCTTTGATGGTAATTCGATGCGAGAGTTGTACCATTGGGGACAAGATGATTTGGAAGTTGAATCAATTCTTGAGAATAGCATTCAAGATGATGCTGCCAAAAACCTGCTGAAGAAAATTCTTAAACGCAATCCCAAGGATAGGCCTTCAATGAATGAAATTCTTTTAGATCCATTTTTCACTGGCGAGACTACCGATGATGTGAAGGAAGTGGTAAAAGAAGAGTTTGGAAAGATGAAATCACTTGTACTTGAGAATAGGCAAATCATGCAACATGGATTCTCCAAGATCCACGAGTCACTAAACCGTCTAAAAAGCTACCAAGAAGCGGCCAATACTCTTTTGAAAGGGATCGTTCAAGGAAAGAAAGCACAGCCAAAGTTTCTTGTGATACTTCCAGCGGCCGAACAAGACAATCATCAAGAGAAGCAATTCTCTAGATTTCTGTCGACACTGTCAAAGATTAAGAATCTCAGCAGCCTCACTACCAAGGCAAGGTTGTGCTTCATTTGTCCAATATCGCTACAACCAGTTGTGGGAACAGATGGCAAAGCGATTGGGTATGATATTAAATTGGCCAAGGATTGGATCAAGAAGTATGGACCTGCTATTCTGATTGGCCTGAAGATTGTCCAAGCAGGACTTGCAGTGGGCCGTGGATTCGGTCTCCCCCTTCCATCGTTGAGTGGGACAGAAAAAGGGTTGTTGGAGACTTCGGATCTCTTTGCAGAGATGCAGGGTTTGTTGGTTGATGGAATGGGAGGCGATGCCGAAGAGGATGGCCTTGCGGATATGATGCTTGAAAAATTTGCAGACAGAGTCGATAGCGCAGCCTCGGCGGAAGGTCCAGTCACCATGAAAAAGAACCATTTAGCCAGCATTCAAAAGTCGTATGATGGCATTGGTTTGCTCATTGGCGACGAGGAATTCAAATGCTGCGGTCTTGTGCAGGCCGTCAGCAGCGATGGGAAGGAATATGAATATGTACACCCCAATGTGAAGCCGTTGTTTGAAAAATTTGGGTCGAAATGCTTGGAGATGTCAATGGAAGAAAGGGAAACGGAAAATGCCATGTTGGCTGCAGAAGCTCGAGAGGATGGAGACAAAGATACAAAAAAGGGAAGCCCCAAAAATGGACACGATGAAATGAGGAAGCACGAGACTGCGGTTCCAGTTCCAATTCCGGTAGCACCTTCAGACAGTATTCCTCAAAGTGAGTTACAAGGGATACCACAGGGCTCTATCAACCATGTGGTTCACAAAGGCTGGCTGCGCATTCAAAGCGGTTGGCCTCCCTATCTTTGGAAGCAACGATATGTCGTGGTCTACAACAATTGCAGCATTACACAGTATCCCAATGCTGGTTCAACTTACCTTGATGCCAAATGGATAGATATGAATGATGGAACGATGGAGCTACGGTCTGGAGGGAAAGTCGTTGCAAAAGCCAAGCTATCGAAACGCTGTACTAGTAGTACCATTGCCGAGTGGTGTCAAGCGAATAACGTAATCTTGAATTCCGATGAGCAATCGACCCCCGATTTGAAGAATCGCAAAGCAGCCGCCACGTCCTCTCGGGCCGATCACACTGGGAATGTCATCCAATCGAACAACAATAGTGACTGATAATTTGAATAATGTGTCAATTAAAGTTAGGAAGTTGTTTGTACTTTTATGCAGTGTACCGCGCGGTACCAGGTAAACGTACTGCAAACGCCGGATGCTGAAACCTGAAAACGAAATGGTTCTGAATGATGCAGGTTGCAATGTAGCAGCCGATTACCACATACCTTTGAACTGCTGGTCAAGGATCCAAGTACGCGTACTTGCCTTTGCATTTATTGGATTGTAACTTTGAAAAACTATATACTTCCGTGCAATATGATTGCCAAAAATACTGGTAGAGGTTGCGCCCCTGGTAGGATGTTTGGTGCAACGAACTCAAAAAGAAACCACAAACAATTGACTCATTCATTCACATCACTCAGTATGATCGTCGCCTAGTGGTGCTGCCTCTGCTTGATTGCTCAAGTTCCTTTTTTCGTTTCCTTTTTTGTGTCTTGAGCCGTTGTTTGTCCCGAGCTTTTTTGGGGCATCACAGCTCCTCCTGCGATGGACAAAGAAGGATTGCAGTATTGGCGACAATCCAAAGTACCACTCCAAGAAATATTTTGTCGCCTCCATTGATATCGTAATCTGAAGCGGGAATAGTATTTGGAAGAAAAAAAAAGGCTGCTTCGGCTGATTGGTGGGATGACGGTGACATATTTGCATTCGAAAAGGAGCATATGGTGTTGATCGTCGCCATGAGGATGAGGATGATGATGATGATGATAATGTTGTTTGCTGGGCGTATGTGATGATGATCATCCATTCATTGAGTAAATATATCCCTTAACGCTTCGATTTTATCCGATATATTATATCGGATATAAAAAAAATTACGCACTACTATTTACACCATACTACTACAATAATAAGCATTAAAATGATCATTACAAAGGGACAAATCTAAATATGAATACTTCCTAGCAGGTACAGTAAGCTTAGTTGTCGCTGTAGCTCCATTTTGCTTCTCCAGAGCCTTCTGATAAGCGAAATCGGCCACATGGAGTTGCTCATTTCCTTTCTTGATAGCAACAGTGTGCTTTTACTGTTTTCTACTGAATCTAGGCGCAGGAAGCCATGGCTTAGATGTGGCAATCATTCTAAACGTCTTCATTGGTGCTCCGCTTGGTATATTGTCACATAATGCGTTGGCCATGTAACTCTGCCACAACGCAATTGCCAACAGCCTACTTTGCAGGATTGACAGCCATGCAAATACAGTTACACACTGCAATCAACACTAGAATCACTTTCGAATGACTATCCTTCACCCTTGAAGGTGCTGGCCTTTGTCTTGCATGACTATTTACATTCGGGATGACGAGCAACATACTCAGATTTTTTTGGTCCATCAGACCACCAAATTGAGCCGCATGGTCCTCTCCCATGCCTATTGCACCTTCTGATAGGGCCGAGAAGTGCCATTGTGATAATACATATCAATGGCAAATGGTAGGGTGGAAGAATATGCCGTCTTCATGACCTGACAAGACAGTTTTGTGTTGGTGTCAGTTTTGGGGCAAATGGGTCTGTCCGACTTCGGAGGTTCATCCTTGTTTCTGTGATGGGCTGAGATATAACATGTAGCATACCGATGAATTCCTTATTTCACTGGCAATAAACTTATTTATGGCAGTAAAAGGTGTATTTGTACGTGGCGGAAGTTATTGCGTGAAATGTGTGCAATTTTTTTTATCCGATATATTATATCGTCTAAAGCGTTAAGGGATATACATCAGCATGGTGACGAATGGCATTTAGATGAATTCATCGCCTCCATTCATCGCCTCCATTCATCTCTGTTGGATATATTAGGATTTTCGAAGTACATATTTGGAGAAACGAGAAAAAGAGAATGCATGTGAACGATAGAGAAATGATGTCGACTGATACAACTAAAAATGAAGACTGATGCGACTAAAAATACGGATTATATTTCTATGGAAATCATCCTGTTGATGATGTAAGAAAGCAAGATTCAAGCAAGAGCCAAAGTTGGATACTAATCAAAGTACCGACTACAGTGGAAGGTGAACGGATAAACAGATTGAACTTGCAGCATATCAGGCTGACGTAGAGAGAATTCTGAGAATTTCCACTGAGCTGGAGAGGAAAGAGTCAAAGTCAAAAGTTGACAGACTATTCTCACTTTTTATAATATATTGCAAGCAACGAGTGAATTGGTTGATAAAGTAGGATCTCTGATTGATCTATATACTTCTATATACTGTAAATTCACATACTTAGAAGGCAACAATACCTGGACAGCTAAATGCGGTAGAAACCATCAGCAATGTCAATCTTGGAGATGTAAACAGGCCCGTGCAGAGGGTTGGCTTGGAGGATTCGTTGTAGGATGCGGTGAAGGGCACGTCCGAATTGCATGGAATCTGATGGCGCGATTGGGACTGATTCTTGATTGATGCCAAAGAAAGAAAGGTCAACTATCAGTCTGGGCCGTCTGTCCCGTTGTGGAACTACGCCCAGAGGACTGAGTCGCAAGTTCTGTAGATGCCGCACGAGTCCAGAATTTCTTGTTGAGAAAATCAGTGAACTCTTCTCGGACGAAGGACACTTCGTCTTTTGCAGACTTGTGGGGACCTCGGGCGACGGCGTCGTCTCGTCGTTGTATGTTCCAAGGTAGTGTAGACATCGGTATGGGTGCGCCATGATTTCGAAGGTGATCGAGGAGGTGTGCAGCTGGATGTGCCAGATGCCTCACATTGGGCGCAATATCTGGAGCTGATCCTCTCTGTGCCGTAGCAAACGTCTCCCAGGAGTTACTTTGCTGAAATTCATGAACGGCCATACAAATCTTCTTACCTAGTTCATCATCGTGGATGCGGAACTGTTGTGCAGGTGGACTTGTGCTGAGGCGGAAAGGCGGAATTGTGGAAGTGGTTGGGAGACGAGGTACAGTGGCAGGTAAACTGGTGTTGTTATTGGTTGCCGCTGCCCCCATCACGTTGCTAGATGATGGAGCAGGTGGCTTAGACGGGAACCGTAGCTGTGGGTACCATCCGCCGAAGCTTCATTCTTCAGCATAAGCTTTCTTGCACCACGCGACAAGCTTTGCTGTGTCTTGTGCGGAGTGGGCCACATGGTCGGCCGCTCAAGGACACTTTTCCCAGCATTTTCCCTTGACGTGATAACCAACACACATTTGCACCTTGGTGCCATTGTGGGTGATCTCAGGCGGCGGAGATCCAGCTTTCTGCTCGGCCTTTGGAAAAGCGGTGGCAAGGGCCAATTTCCGGAACTGGATGAGCTCTGGAACATGTGTGGAGTTCTTCACTTGGAGGCTGTTCTTTCCTTTGGATTTTTGGTCATCCTCGCCTGGCTTAATTCCTCCACCCTGTGGTGGAAAGAAACCATTGAAGAATGGAGGATACCCCAAGGAATGAGGTGTGAGACTGGAAGCACCGGAGCTGTCAGAAGACATTGGGACCATGCCTGGGGGCATCATGTAGGGCAGGTATCCCCCGTTCCATGGAGCTGTAGGTAATTGGGCCGCTGGTTCGCTCCAGTAGTTGGCAGGAAGCGCAGCAATCCAGCTGTCGGAGCGCTGTCGGATCTGTACCAGGATGTCAACAAAGTTGGGCGGATCCGGCTGATAGGACATAGAGCTCTCCACTGACTGCCAGTAGTTAACCATGCGGACTTGTACTGCCCTCAAGAAAAGAGCCGGCTTTGGCTCTGGTCGTGGCAACTTGTCGAGTAGGGCAGTGAAGTTGGCTTCATCTCGCACGTATTGCTGTAGGAACATTCCGTACGCTCGTAGGAAAGGATGGCTGAATGGCAGCAGGACTTGCCACAAGGTTAGTAGGCCCATAAGATGACTTCGTGCCTTGGAGAAGGTGTCCGGGATGTGGACAGTAGGCTTTCTCAAGGCGATGGCGTCTTGTAGAGAGGCCCCTGATCCCCCGTGGACTTCCGCGTAAGCTGCTGCCCTTTCTCGGGCCGCCTTGGTCACTCCCACATCGGAGCCTCCATAGGACGGCAGGACAATAGAGAAAGGGTGAATTCCTTCTTCAAGGTCGTCAGTGTCGTTGCCACCGAGTTTCACCGCCTTCACTTTCTTCACCAAGTCCGGAGTGACAATGGGTACAGTTCCGAATCCCCCTGTCGCTTCGCTGCTCGCTTGGGACCTGAGGGCGGTTTCCAAAACGTCGAGGTCGGCTTTCTTGGGCTGAGAAGCCCATTCGGACCAGACAGGTGGGCACTGGCTAGTGTCTTGGACGTGGAGAACGCTGAGGAGCTTGTGGAGCATGGGACCAAAGAATTCGTCCACACTCCTGGGGACCTTGGCCTTGGCGTCTCGTGCTGTCGTTTCGGTCTGGGCGTCCTTTTGGGTTCGGACCAGTTCGTTGACTGATTGCGCCAGGCTCTGCTGAATTCCTAGCATGGACAGAAGTGAAGCTTCCTTCAGGCCCGGAAGATGCTGTTCCAACAGCTCTCGGCGTTGCACCTTGAGCGCTGCATCATCAAAAGGTCTATCAGGCAATGTTGTTGCAAGAGTTGGTGGAGCGCCCGCTCCTGCTCTAACCAGTGACAGTAGTAGCCAATCGGTGAGCTCGGGGCACTCAATTTCGTCTCCAGTGTTTTTGATGGCTGCTGCCAAGTCGATGAAACCCTTTCGAACTGGAACTTGGCGTCCCAGAACCAGATGCACATAGCGGTGTGGCAGAGGGATGTAGTGACGGGTCTTCGCTTGTTTGATGTTGGCATCCGTGTCCTGGAACGGTCCAATAGAGGAGTCGTCCGGATTGAGCTGGAGAATGTCCAGAGCTCGCTCCAGATCCTTTGGGACGTTTTCCTCTGTTCCAGTTCCTGGCGACATAAAGGCGTCCTGTGGAAATTCTACAGTGGTGATGGTGTTGGCAACCACATCGCCGGTGAACGCGTAGGCCTTTCCATCGCAGCGGCTTGGGACCCCAGGCAGTGGACTTGTAGAAGGCTGGTGCATGGACCAATAGATAGAATAAATTCCCATTGTCATTGATGAGCGACAGGTAGGCCATGGGATAAGCGGAGGTAGACAGTTCGGCGCTGTTGTAAACTCTGTAGGCTCGCATGAGCGCTTGGTAGTCTTGTTGATGGGGGTCCAAAGTGGTGTTGCCGAAAAATTCATGGTAAGCGGTCAGCTGTGGTGTTGGTGCTGCTGGTGCAGCTGCGGGTGCTGTTGGCGCTGCCACAGTCGGCGCCGTTGGTGCTGTTGCCGCGGCCATGATTACTTGAAACCTTTTCTATTCTATGCCTAGTCAACGTTGACGTGTCTTACAACTTCGATCCTGATGCGTTAGGAAGGAGAAAAGACAAGAATATGCGATCGCTGTTGTTGAGGACTCGCTGCGGGATCTCTGCTGCGCGCACCGCGCTTGTTCAATAGTCACTACTGTTGGATGAAGTTCAGACCTTCACCAGTATCAAACTTGGCCTTGACCTCCTGCATCATGCAACGAGCGATCAGAATAGCGTGGTCATAATCAGCTTTCATCTCATTCCCAATATGTTGGAAACATAGACTTCAATTTGTCCTTTAATGGTTTCATTTCCCTCTCTCGATGCTTGCGTCTTGTCGCAACTCGATTCTTGTTCTTATTGGCAGAACTGCAACTCCTGCTCAACGGCCATTCTCTTGGTTTCTTTGGAGCTTGAGAAAGGTTCAGCCCAGACATTGCAGCTTGCGCATAAGTTTGCCCAGATCAAGTGACTTTTGCTACTTAAGGCGTTTCAGGCTCAAATACAATCTTTTCTTCTGACGGTTCTTGTAGATCCTCCAGATCAGTAACAAGGCTCCCAATATCATCGGTTCCTCTATCGGCATTTTCTTGATGGTGATCCAAATCGGCCACAATAGCTTCTTCTTCATCATCACAAGAATCGCTGTCATCTGATTCATAGTCATCATCTCCTTGGAATCTGACAGTGAGTTCTTGCATATCATCGACATCATTGTCTGCATCTGCCAAGAGCTCTTCTCTTTCTGAGTCATCGATATCATTGAATTGTCCATGTAGGTTGAAATCACGTTCATCTTCATCTTCAGGTTCATACTCCTGATCAAAGGCTTCTTCTAAGTAATCCGCTCCTGCGATTCTATTGCCATCTTGAAATGTCTCCAAATCTCTCGTCTTATCGAAGAACTTGACAAAAGTAACACCTTCAGCAGTAGCCCAGGCTTCAACATTACTTGGTCGGTAACGGGTAGTACGACGACCCTGGGTCAAGAAATCATCTTCTTAGTATTGAGGTTGAGCACTCGGTGCCCAGTACGTTGTCCCTTCGTAGGTTCAATGTAGATCGCTTTGATACTTCGGGGTTCCATTGAAGTGTTGGAATCCGTCCCAATTGCATGAACATACTGTCCAAGCTCAGCAACCATGTCATTCTTGTAGTTGAAATTGACATTATCAATGATTTGCTGCGGACTGAAATGTTAGGAAATACTGTCTTTCTGGAACACGCGAGGACTTGGTGTTTTTGGCGTGTTTTGTGAATATTTATTAGAAATCGAATTTTCAGAAATAGTTTTTTTGCATTGCTTAACTGGCGACAATACATTGCACTTGTCTCTTTGGCACCTTGTTCGACATTTGCTCCAAGTTGCTCCAACACATATACACCCCTACGATTCACAAATCGCATCTGTCTGTCTCCATCGCAATGCACAACAAAGGCATTGTCAAAATCAGTATCCATGGTAATGCGGTATCCCGCAGCAATCATCTCGCGCATAGCAAGTACATTGGCAATTCCGTCTTCATCATAATAGACTGGAGGCGGAAATCTTCCTAAAAACCCTTCTTCATCGAGAACTCTGCTGCCCACGTTAGTGTGCATATCGAGCTCTTTCTCAGCTTGACGTAGTCCATGCATGAGTTCACCATTACAAATGGTGGTGTTGGTGCAACCACTGTCCATGATGACGTGATCGAGCAAACCAAACGGATCTCTTTCGATTCTGCGGCTTTGAATAAACTGCATACCTCAATCTGCTTCAGTAGCAAGATCTGGCAAGTCTTCACTTTTACTAGCATAGTGCCAGTCGGCTTGAAGTTTGACGTTAGTTGTTCCATTAGGACATGGAATAAGATAGACAGCATTGCCATTCTCATCCTTTCCCTTGATAGCATTGTGAAAGACATTTGACGTATCATAATAGCCAGTCTTCACAACCTGCGGAGTTTGAGCTTGAGTTGCATCGAATCCTTGGCGCACTTGAGCACCACTGAAGCCTTGTTGGCTGAGTTGCATTCCACTGAACGCAATCTCACCGTTAGCATTCATAGAATAAGTGACAGTAACATTGCCGCCACCTTGAGTTGGAATCTGCATGAGCTGCATTCCCAAAGGAACTTGCATCATTTGATTACCTGTAGGTAGTAGCAGCAAGTCGCAAAGGTGTGTTAACACTTCCTGCAACACTCAATGTTCCACCAGTGTTCACACTTGTTGCTGGAGAAGTTCCAGGAACTGTAGCTGTAGCTGGGACAGTTGCTCCAATCTGATTAATCTGATTTAAATTGAGCTTCTTCCCGTAATCAATATAGTGTGTTGGCTGCTTCCATTGACTCTCTGGTAGCAGTCTGTTTGGGCATTTTGGAGACATATGGTCCTCTTTGCCACATACATAACATGCAGCCTTTTTCTTATTGTCCTTCGGTTTAGCTGTAGCTGGGACAGTTGTAGCTGGGACAATTGCTCCAATCTGATTAAGATTGAGCTTCTTCCCATAATCAACATAGTGTTTCGGATGCTTCCATTGAATCTCTGGTAGCAGTCTGTTTGGGCATTTTGGAGACATATGGTCCTCTTTGCCACATACATAACATGCTGCCTTCTTCTTATCGTCCTTTGGTTTACCTTTACCTTTACCTTTACCTTTACCTTTACCTTTACCTTTATCTGGTTGGTCTTTTCCTTGGTAAAGGTTCACTCCCGGATTCTTGGTCACATCCATGTGAATCTTCAACATATCTTGTGCTTTGCTGACCGTCTTTGGATGATAATCCACTTCCCTGCAGTAGATCCTCTGAAGATCCAGCATCAGAGGAGCTGTTCTTGTTCGATCACAGTTGCACAGGAATCCTGTTGCAAGAACGGCTTCAAAGCAAAGATATCATCCTTGAACTTGTCTTTAGCAGTAGTATCGGTGCTAGCAATAGCAGCATACGCTTTTGTCTTGACTGCAAAATTTCGGAACCAGCCAATGCCATATAGATCTTGCAGGACTTCAGCCTGTCTCAAGAATCGTTCCTTGAAATGCATCAAGTTCTCGGTTGTTCCTTGCTTCATAGCAAAGAACTTTTGATTGGTTTCCCAGAAATCCAAGGACCCATACTTAACATCAGCACTCTTCTTCATGAATCGTTCAATATGTTTCAAGAGTTTGATTGGATCTTCAAGAGTAGTCGTGAAACCGGCTTCACCTCGAACCTTGATATCCATTGCTTTGGTCACAAACTTAAGCATGATGTTTGACTTCACAATTCTCTTGTTTGTTTCGAAGTAGGCTGATCTTTGCATGTTCTCGTCGAGCTTTGCAGAATAGAGAATCTTGTTTTGAGCCATCTCTGTTTCTCTTGCAACAGCTTCAGTTGGAGTTGGAGCATTCAATGTTGGAGCGATCGCATTGAAGCCGATCGACTTTCCATCTCAAATTGATTTCACCATGTCTTCGGAACATTTCATTCCAGAAGCTTGGATGTAGTCAATAACTCTTTCTTTGGCATCTTTGTACGACAATCTTGCCTTTCCATCATTTTCATCATTCGTTAAAAATAGATGTTTCACAACTGTTGAACTCGAATTGCTCTTGACTTTCTGAGGAGTCATACGCCCTCTTCCTCCACCGGATGAAGAACGTCCCATAGTCAACGAATCACTCACTCCTTTGTAGATAAGGCAGTGCTGTTCTTGACGTATATTTGTTTTATTGCCTTTTGTGATTGAATGTTAGAATAAAGCAAAATGTGCTCTATCATGAGTGCCTCTAGCGCTCAGAACAAACTCTCTGCAATCTAAATTTGTAATCGACTGTACAACACTTTCACAATAATAGTTCTCCTGTGTTAGGTATACTTTGAGTGAAATTGTTCCTATTTGATTAATGTTTGGCTTGAATTGATGATTCAATCACAAAAGTGATTCGACTTCTACGAGAATTCTGTGTTGAATGCAGTACTTTGGGACATCTTCTATTATTCCCTACTGCATCCTACACACCATCGATATTCCACTTGTATAGGGTCTTTCTCTTTTTGTGTGGATACACCCTAACCCAGATTGTCTGACAGACTTGCGTCCGGCAGACTTGCGTCAAATCCCGACATCATGATCGAAGTCCGATCGCACCTGTCGAAAACTTTGTACTTGAATAGTTTCTTTTGGAACGTAAAAACTCATATTTCGTCATATCCCAACAATATTGGCATTATCGATGATTTGCTGCGGACTAAAATGTGAGGAAATACTGTTTTTTTTCTGGGGAAAGACATTCAATACCTCACTTTGTAGGGTAATCGTGCAAGAGCTACTCTGACTCTTTCTTTCAGCGTTCGATTGTTTCGCTCAGCTGTAGGCTCGTGGTCTCCAGCTGCAGTCGGGTCAATAGTAACACCCATATCATCTAGCATATCATCCGTCAGAGGGAGCCCGATGAATGCCTGATCACACTTGATTGTCTTAACATGAATCCACATGAAAAGGGAACGACCCCAATGCATGCGGAAAACCAACGAATCCAACAAGAGAGCAATCGAGCCATCCAACAACTGTCCGAACAAATGAACCTCATGGTCCAGTCCCAACCAGGAGCCTACCAGCCGCCCATCCCACACACGACCTACTACATGCCACACCAGGGTCCTGCCTACCAACCAACGGAGATACCACCCCCAATATACCCACCTGTACCACCATTCTACATGTACCAAGCACCCCAGCACGACCCAAAGGACGATTTGAAAAAGCAAATTGAAGAACTCCAACGCAAACTCGCTGACAAAGAGAATCAAAATGGTGGCAACAGGAACAAACACGGCCCCTTCCCACCACGGACCAAACGCTTCCACAATAATGACAACTATTGTTGGACCCACGGACACGACCTTCCCAACACACATACCAGTGCCACGTGTAAATTCCCCAAACAAGGCCACCAAACCACGGCCACAAAACTCAATCGCATGGGCGGATCTGAGAAGAACAAACAATGGGTTGGCTTGTGACAACCCAGGCGAACGAATCTATGTCAGATTAGCATCCTCCCGAGCCTTGCTAATAAACCAGCCCTTTACTCTATGACTACACCACCCCTTTGTTCTAGCCCACCCACATCCATTGTCGCTGACTCCGGCGCGACCACAAACTTCAGTTTACCCGGCATGCACACCATCAACCGCCGAACCGATCCTATTGGCATCCACGCCCTCATGCCCAACAATGACACTTTGCGCTCTACACACACTGCCAACCTACTATTCAGCAATCTTCCCTCTGCGGCAACCCACTGTCATGAAATGCCCCACCCTTTTCAAAAGGAATGAGCTGCAACTGAGCTGCAGCTCATTCACCAACTTCTTTCACAACCTCTTTGGTACGTAGCTTTCCACTGTCCTGCTACTGTACCTTCTTTGCATACGTACTTGGGCGTTCCGATCAGTCTGTCCTTCGCTCGCCAACACCTGCAGCGATTGCTCATCCTTCTCAATCGCTTTGGATTTCGCAGACTCCAATTGGGCCTAAAAGAGTTTCAATGATGTTTTTGGGCTGACAGTTGTTACTAGCTGTTGGCTCCCAATCCCCCAGCGCAAGCGCTGGTTTCCTCCATTCGGCCATCTTGTTGCCGTCCAGGGTGTGGTGGGTGAAAAAAAACGCTAGTGCCCGACGTGATCAACAAGAACATCGGTCAAGCGTTGCATCCAAGGCTTGGACTGGGTGTGAAGATACCGAAAAACTTCATTGGAGCGCCACCGACCAAGTAGTTTGATGAGACTAGTCGGGATATTGCCTTCCAGAAGCGCGGTAGCCCCGGTGCATCGAAGAGCACCAATTGTGGGAGGTCGATCGATCTCCACTGCTCTCAAATATTTTGTCATCATTCGATCTGTGACATTGCAAGGGACTCCAAACTCGGAGTAGTAGGTGAACAGGGGGGTGTCGCCAGTTGTGTGTTGACTCTGTCGAAGGTGTCGGACAATGGCAATCAGCGTAGCTGTTGGGTTGTCACCATTTAATGACGTGCCCAAACCGATCTTTTTGTCTGGCACCGCATTTTTTTGTTTGTCAAATATCAGACCGGCGAATGTCACAAGTGACGTGTCCAGGAGGCGAATGGGAATGACGTCGCCACGAAATTCTGCGTCGTTGATACGAAAAAACCCTTGCTTCAACTTGAAAGGAAATTGCGTTCCCGCTTTTGACAGAAATTCGCCAGGATGTAACAAAAAGAAAAACCCCAACCACATCAATCAATTCATTGCCTTTGCGGCATGTGTACTTGTGGGTTTTTTGGCGAGCTTTGATGCTTGCCTTAACAAGGACTTTGGCAATGGGCGTACTCACTGTGCTGCTGGATCCTCTTTCTTCCAACTTTTCAGCAGCCGTGTCCCACAAAAGTCCATTGTTCCTGGTGCATATCGGTTCATCCTCGGATCGAGCAGTCCCAATGAGGAAAAGGCCTGGCCCACCTGGCGCATGGTATCTTCAGCCGTTCGACCCCGGACCTGTCTCTTACTGGGGGCAATTTTTCCACGTCGCCATTGGGTTCCAAAGAGGAGGATGATGAGCAAGGGATCGTCGACCGCTGACAATCCTGGGTCGAGGGTGAGGCTGTCGCAGAAGGCAACCCATGTGGTCCAGACAGAGTGTGCCTTTGCAACTCTTGAAGGACAGACTCCGCGTTCGATTCCGAGTTCAACAGCACGGATGTCATCAAGGAGTTCACGGCGTTCGGCATCCTGTACAGTTGCCAAGAGTTGATCTGTGGATACGTGCGATTAAAATATGAGATAAATTTGGCGTCAGACAGGTGCCACAGTCGGCTAGCATCGTCAGCCATTCGATTGTTCGTTCCAGATAAGTGCCCAATACGATGATGTGCTCGTTTTTCCCGCTGTAATCCTGCCGCTAACCGTAATATTCTTGCTCTTGCTAACCGTAATATTCTTGCTCTTGCCTTTCAAGAGGTGGACGATCCTTTTGTGCGCCATGACACTGCTGGTGTGTTATCACAGCCAGTATAAGTGGTTTCGCCTTCCACCTGGGCGGTCTTTCCAAGGACAAAATGATGGAGAACGGTGCTTTCCAGCTCCAAGTCTGAGTTGGTAAGTTTTCCTGTCAGATTGTGATTGGAAATAACCTCTTTTTTCACTGCTTCTTGATATGGTTCGCGCCAGACGATGGCCTCTCCATTGTTGGTGAACCACACTCCTCCCCTTCCCGACTTTGCCGCATCGCAAGCGCCAACGTGTAAGTCAACGCCTGGTACCAGTTCTTCAAGTGTTGTGGGGCGCTTTGCAAGGCCATGAAGAAAATCTTGGAAGATTTCCAGTTGCTCGCGGACCTCAGGAGTCAACCGCACCCTATAATCCACCTGTCGAGTCAGTGCATCCTGCAGCAAGGAGAAATGTCCCTCACTGCCCGACATTCCTGGCTGCAGGCTGCATAAGACTCCTAACATCTGCTGCCATCGTTTCAGGGAGACGCGTTTGCAATCCAAGACCTCGCCCAGGAGTGACAGGGCCTTGCTCACTCGTTTCTCTTTCAATTACAATGTCTTTGTTGTCGCTCCCCAGTTCCAACCCAAGGCTTCTTTGATTGTGTGCCAAGAGGCATCTCCCTTGGCCATTTTCGATTGTGACTGTGGCTCTTTTCGCCACTGATTGTCTGTGGGTCGATTCGGTCGGAAGACCTTGGATGGTCTTGGTCCATTCCAACAAAATCGTCCACAAATACTTCCATCTTCTTCAATGGGCGCTGGTAAGTCAGTGGCTGGTGAGATTTTGGTATAGGTCTCACAATTTGGGTGTCCCTCACTTCAAAGTCAGTGATGGCTGCTGCCTTTCCCAAAGGATGCGGTGGCACTCGCTTGTTTTGTTGGAAGTCAACATTTGTCAAGTCGGCAACGGTTTCCGTCAAAGCACAGAACCATGGAGGACTTTCTGTCCAACCCATGGGAAGCACAAGTGGTAGTGCAACCAATTGTGGAAGTCCCTCAAAACGCGGTAAAATGACCCCAAGCTTGAGTGCGCCGGTAGTTGACATTCGGATGCAGTAGAAACCATCCGACATGTCGTTCTTGTACATGTAAACTGGCCCATAGTCCGGGTTTGCCTTCATGAGTGCCTCGCGGATGCGTAGTGGGGCCGTGCCGAATTGCATAGCTCCCTCTGGGGCAAGTTTCATTGTGTCGTCATTGAGTCCCCAGAACGAATAATCAACAATCATCCGCGGTCTTCTGGTATCTTGTGGTACGCAGCCAATTGGAGAAAGGCAAAGTCCTTACTTGTCCTTGATGGCGTCATATGGAAGTAGGATCCAAAATCCCTTCCTTCCAAAATCCAAAAACTCCTCCATCAGAAATTCTTTGAATTCGTTTGCTGATGAGTGACAGCCACGAGCGACTCACATGTCAAGTTGGCTCTGGCTCCATGGCTCCGAATGAACCACCACAGGAGCCCCATTTTTCAGTACTCGGTGTAGCATTAGTATGGCAGGGTGCGGAAGCTTTTCAATGTCTGGTGCAGCAGCATCTGAACGGAATAAACGTGCAGTGACTTATTGCCAACCGTGTTTTAAATAAGTTTCATTAGCCAACGCAACCAGCTCACCTATAGTATTAGCACTACCTCCAATTAAAGTAGATCGTAACGAAAGTGGGTCCGATTGAGATGGCCTGCAAGAATCCGATGATTCCCGGCCTCCATCTCACTTATTCTTATTTACATAATCCTTCATTGCGGTTGCTTCCTCGTCAGTCAGCTTACAGAGTCTTGTGGGCCACTTCTTTTCCACTGTATTTGGGGGCGCCTTGTCCGATGCTTGTCCATGGATGCGCGCTACCACTACCTCCGAAAGCGATTCCACGTTGATCGCGTTTGCATTTTTGTAGTGCTGGAAACGGACACTATTAAACATGTTCAACCCCTTTTCAACGTCGCCGCGCGAAGAGAATTCCAATTCCACCAGGCTCTTGATTACTCGGGCTGAAACGATGAATTCCAGATTGAGGTTCAGTTTCTCGGCCTCATCATCCAGCAGGGACTGCACAATTCCAATTGATTCGTGCTTCTTACACTTTGCTAGCTCGTACCAGAGGGTTGGAAGCTGAGCTGAGGTCGTAGTACCAGCAACTCTCTTCAGATAGGAGAGTCTTGTGGGCCACTTCTTTTCCACTGTATTTGGCGGCGCCTTGTCCAATGCTTGTCCATGGATGCCCGCTACCACTACCTTTGAAAGCGATTCCACGGAGGTCTTTGTCGTCTTATTACTCTCCTCAACGGCTGCCAAGGTCTTAGTGAGCAGTTCGTAGGTCTTGTCGGGGGAATCTCCAATTGAGTCCTCCGAGTCCAATCCGGCGAAATCCAAATTGATTACTCCGGAAACCCAACGTCGGGCAGATGTCGCAGTGAGAACAGCAGGTTCTCCGACGTTCTTCGAAAGCTGATCTCTCCCAATGACCGTGTTTGTCACGCGCCAATGGTCCACGAAGTGCCGGAACTTTTCATGCACTTCCGAAATTTTTTCAGGCTCCTCGCTGTTGGCGAGAATCTTGATTCTGTCAATCACCAATCGCAAGACTTCGCGTGCCGACGATCCGTCCCAAGCGCTATCCAAGAACTCCTTGGGAATGGGCATTTGCTTGCGTGTAACCAGTAGGTCGTATGCCGTCTCAGGATCTTTGTCAGTGATATCCTCCATCACAAACAGCTTGAAGTGATCCTGCTCGAGCGCCTTGTTTATCAACCACGCCTCCAACTTTGGAACCTTAACCGGATCGGTTTTTGAGAAGGCCTTTGCCTGCCAAGAGAATGCCAGTGGGTAGCTCCGGTTCTCCAGAACGTCATGGTCCAGCACGTACAACTTATCGAAATGCTGCTCTTTCTTTTTTCCAACCGTTGTGTACCTAATCATTGGAAGATGCCAAAAATTAAAGTTGTTCACCTGTTCCTTGGGCCATCCCGTGTACCAGGCGGGGGGCGCCTTCTTGTACACCCTTTTCGACAAGGCTGTTTAGATCTTGCAACTGAAGGTCTTTGGTGGGATCAAAGGCATCAAGGACCGCCTTGGAATCATGGTTTGGGTAGCTCGCCTGGGTGGTGAGATAGTGGTAGCTCTTTTTGCGCACGGTGAAGTCCGTAATGGTCATGATGATGGGTGTTACAGGTAGAACAACCGTGTGCTTCACTAATCTTAATAACTATCTATTCCTAGACTTCAAATTCACTCTGTCAAATACAGAGCAGTCTTTTCAAAAGGAATGAGCTGCAACTGAGCTGCAGCTCATTCACCAACTTCTTTCACAACCTCTTTGGTACTTAGCTTTCCACTGTCCTGCTACTGTACCTTCTTTGCATACGTACTTGGGCGTTCGGATCAGTCCGTCCTTCGCTAGCCAACACCTGCAGTTTTCCTGAGGAAAGACATTCAATAGCTCGGCGGCTCGACGTCCAAGACATTCAGTGATCACCTTTGGGACCACTTTGTAGGGTAAACGTGCAAGAGCTACTCTGACTCTCTCTTTCAGCGTTCGATTGTTTCACTCAGCTGTAGGCTCGTGGTCTCCAGCTGCAGTCGGGTCAATAGTAACACCCATATCATCTAGCATATCATCCGTCAGAGAGATGAAAGCCCGATCACACTTGATCGTCTTGACATGAAAGCCTGCCTTGTTGTAGCGGCGGAATATCTTATCCAATGCGTCAAATACAGGGTCAGTCTTGAGGTTCTGTATGGGAATACATGAGCGATAACGCACAGTGGTATCAATGCAGGTGAGAAACTTAGCATCTCCGATCTCCATGGGATCAATACAGACGGCAATTGTGCGATTGTGCTGGTACAATTCCTCTGGTGGACTGAAGAAGTCATTGTGTGTCTTCTCCAGAGTTGGTCTTGTCGACTTGCCTTTCAATGTAGATGCGTCAGGTCCAAAGATTGCTTTGGCATGGTTGATTGCTTCATCAGTGATAGGACAGTCCTTGATGAGACCAGATCGGATTGCATACTTCAGACTTTGGTGCTTGGAGTATTGAGGAGTATGTGCATCGCACTTCTCGCTTCCATCGCAGCCTTGACTTGTCTTGGAGTGAATCCTTCCTTGTTCTTTCGAACCGTTGCCATCTTCGCAGAAATGGGGTTGTTTATTTACTTTGCTTAACTGGCAACAATACATCGCACTTGTCTCTTTGGCACCTGCTTTGACATTCGCTCCAAGTTGCTCCAACACATATACACCCCTACAATTCACAAATCGCATCTGTCTGTCTCCATCGCAATGCACAACAAAGGCATTGTCAAAATCAGTATCCATGGTAATGCGGTATCCCGCAGCATTCATCTCGCGCATAGCAAGTACATTGGCAATTCCGTCTTCATCATAATAGACTGGAGGCGGAAATCTTCCTAGAAACCCTTCTTCATCGAGAACTCTGCTAAAATGTTAGTGTGCATATCGAGCTCTTTCTCAGCTTGACGTAGTCCATGCATGAGTTCACCATTACAAATGGTGGTGTTGGTGCAACTACTGTCCATGATGACGTGATCAAGCAAACCAAACGGATCTCTTTCGATTATGCGGCTTTGAATAAACTGCATACCTCAATCTGCTTCAGTAGCAAGATCTGGCAAGTCTTCACTTTTACTAGCATTTTTCCAGTCCGCTTGAAGTTCGACGTTAGTCGTTCCAGTAGGACATGGAATAAGGTAGACATCATTGCCATTCTCATCCTTTCCCTTGATAGCATTGTGAAAGACATTTGACGCATCATAATAGCCAGTCTTCACAACCTGCGGAGTTCGAGCTTGAGTTGCATCGAATCCTTGGCGCACTTGAGCACCACTGAAGCCTTGTTGGCTGAGTTGCATTCCACTGAACGCAATTTCACCGTTAGCATTCATAGAGTAAGGGACAGTCACAGTGCCGCCACCTTGAGTTGGTATCTGCATGAGCTGCATTCCCAAAGGAACTTGCATCATCTGATTACCTGTAGGTAGTAGCAGCAAGTCGCAAAGGCGTGTTAACACTTCCCGCAACACTCGATGTTGCACCAGTGATAGCACTTGTCGCTGGAGAAGCCTGTAGCTGGGACAGTTGTAGCTGGGACAATGGCTCCAATCTGATTAAGATTGAGCTTCTTCCCATAATCAACATAGTGTTTCGGATGCTTCCATTGAATCTCTGGTAGCAGTCTGTTTGGGCATTTTGGAGACATATGGTCCTCTTTGCCACATACATAACATGCTGCCTTCTTCTTATCGTCCTTTGGTTTACCTTTACCTTTACCTTTACCTTTATTTGGCTGGTATTTTCCTTGGTAAAGGTTCACTCCCGGATTCTTGATCACATCCATGTGAATATTCAACATATCTTGTGCTTTGCTGACCGTCTTTGGATGATAATCCACTTCCCTGCAGTAGATCCTCTGAAGATCCAGCATCAGAGGAGCTTTTCTTGTTCGATCACAGTTGCACAGGAATCCTGTTGCAAGAACGGCTTCAAAGCAAAGATATCATCCTTGAACTTGTCTTTAGCAGTAGTATTGGTGCTAGCATTAGCAGCATACCAGTGCAAAATGTGTTATCCCCATCAGATCCTTCCTCTGCTTCTGCTGCGATGCTGGCTCTTTCTGCAAAGACCATATTTACATACATCTCATCTTTGCCTTGATCAAGAAGATATTGTTTGAGTGTTAGGATCGGTCGACCAGCCCATTCTTCCATCAATGCAATCTGTAGATCCTTCCGCTTTGGGATCTTGTCTGCCTTCGTCTTCCGAACGCTGAACCATATGGCAAGTTGACTCACAGTGATTGGTTTGGTGTTGAGCTTTTGCCGATCGTGTTCGAGCTTTTCATACTTTTGCATGCGACTGTGGAAAGCATCAATGGATTTCCGAATTGGGTTCAGCGATCCCTCCATCTTCTTGGCCTCCATCTCTCTGCGAGCTGCCAGCACGTTTTCTCCCAGATGGACTTGGCCGCTCTTGAAGATGCTTTAAAGAACCCTTCATGGGCGTTGCCTCGTAGAGCAACCTTTCTCTTGCGCTCTTGCAGAGCCGCTTGGGCGCCAGCATTTTTGCGCATATATTGAACAAGATCAATCATGATTTCGCTATTGCCAACATTCATGTTGAGGAGCGCTAAGGGTCCAATGTTGTCAGCAGTAGCATTACAATCAACCAATTCGGGAGTTCCTGCTGTTCGGGGAGTTGGTGGAGTTCCAGAATCGTCCAATGCTGCAGTGGATCGTTCGGGAGTGTTGACATGAGCCACCCGTGTGTTCAAGATATCTGTGTCTTTCAACAGTCTCATGTCAAGATGGTACCATCCTCTTGCGATGATGGCATGGAGATTTTGTTCTTTCCGAGCGAAGGACACAGTCCACGCTTTGTGGATCAAAGGTATGATATCCGATCGCTTGATGTCGATACTTGGATGCATCATTCTAATCTTGTGCATTACCAATCTCTTTTTCTCCCTTGTCATGGCCATCTTGAAGGATCCATTCTGCTGTACAGAATCGCCAACCTGCCATTTTGCGGTTCCGTTTGGCAAGCCAATGCAGCCGATCCAAAGTGGATTCTGGAACTCGTCCTTACTGTTGATGTATTCAAGGAAGGGAACTTGAAGGCGGCTGTCATGGCCATCAAAGAGACACATTGGTGTTGGTCCGTGCAGGGTTCGTGGGTAGACCCCAAGTTTGTCCAATGTCTCCAACGCTTTCTTGAGAATCTCGGAAGTCATTGATCCCTTTGGAGACACCGCAACCATACCAGGCACTTCCTTTCCTCTGAAGACACATACTGGAAGTCCTGGAAGCGCCTTTCCAGGACCATAGTTCTCTTCTATTGTCTTGGTCCCGTCATATATTGCTTCAGATTGGTGATCAAATCCGGTGTAATCTTCAAAAGCCAACTCTTTGCCAGCAATGATAACAATGCACATCACTGGATCCCCACTTGCAGCAGTCAGACCCATCACAGTGAAGCGACCACTGGCCTTTGTACTCAGCAGTTCCACCTTTTGACCATCCGCACTTTTGATGTATGTCTCGCCGCCGATGTGCCCATCTTGGTCTTGGGCAGTATCAGTTCCGACTTCGTCTCCAAACAACAAATACTCTGGATGTATGAGCTTAATGGTGCACTTGTGGCCAGCTGCCTTATCCTCAGAATCAACAATCTGCCCCTCTTTGCCAACCCAATAGTGTTCACTTTCTGGTAAGCGCACTGCAATTCCAGCTCGCAGCATTTGCTCGTACACTAACTCGTACATTTGTTGGACGTTCTCATATGTTGTCCAGTCCTTCCTTGCTCTGTCCTGCTTGCTTCCTCTCCCAGTGTTCAAGATATCTCTATGTCTATTCATGAAACCTTTGAACCATCTCTTGCCGAGCAACTCTGTTGGTTGAACTTTGATCTTGCTATGAAAGTCTTTCAACTTGTCTTCTAGTTCGGATCCTTTTACAAGAGAATTGGCCAAAGCAATGGTTGTCCAGCTTGCTGCCTGTATAGTGCAATGTTCAGGATGTATGGCTCAAAGGCAGCTACTGGCGAAACGGGCCCTCGTTTGGTTGCAATTTTGTTTCCCCGCACTCGACTCTGGATCGTGGTCTTTGGAATCAAGAAATCGGTTCCGCCAAGTTCCAGCTCTTCCATTACAGCATCATGTATATTTCCATAAGCACCTTTAGTCAGCCGCTTTGGCTTAGCAGCAGCCATAGCATTTGCATAGCGCTCTGTAAGCACAATCTTTGCCAAATCTTTTTTCTTTGTCACATCCTTGTTGGCTTGTTTGGTTGATCCCTTTGGGCGGCCCACTTTCTTCTTGCGCTCCTCCTCCTGTTGCTGTGCCACTGTAACAGCTTTCACTTTTTGTTGCTTAAGGATTCTTGTCTTCTTACCTGTCACCATGTCCCTTGTCAACCACGGATAGAGTTTCTGCTTTTGTTTAAACAAAGCTCCGTATTCACCATAATGATCCTTAAAAGAAAGCGCTCTGGCTTGGAGATCAATGAGCGTCCTGGCCATTTCTTCAACAATCGGTCTTCTGATCCGCTTGGTCTCTACATCTGACCCCTCTGGAGCTACTTGCGTAAGCCTCTTGCTTGACTTCCCCATTGTTTCTTTCTGTTTTATTGGTGGGAGATTTGAAGAAGAATGGGCTAAATCAGTGTCTTTTTTATGGTACTATTCTACGTATGCTACGTGATGAGCGAAATTGAAAGACTACGCCGTTTTCTGGCGCGGCCTCAGAGCGCCCAAATAAAAAATATGCAATTTTTTATCTACAGACCGTTCTACCAGAACTCAATGGGGAAACTAGCCAATCAGCATGTAGACTCATTAAATAACAAGCTTCCTGCTGATCTGCTTGGATTTTTATGGAACCTTGTCCTTCAAGCTCGGCAACTTCGAAGGGGTGATTACGCGGTTTTTGCGAACGACAATTGCTAACAAACAACAACACGTTTTGCACTGGTACGCTTTCGTCTTGACTGCAAAATTTCGGAACCAGCCAATGCCATATAGATCTTGCAGGACTTCAGCCTGTCTCAAGAATCGTTCCTTGAAATGCATCAAGTTCTCGGTTGTTCCCTGCTTCATAGCAAAGAACTTTTGGTTGGCTTCCCAGAAATCCAAGAAGCCATACTCAGCATCAGCACTCTTCTTCATGAATCGTTTAATAGGTTTCAAGAGTTTGATTGGATCTTCAAGAGTAGTCGTGAAACCGGCTTCACCTTGAACCTTGATATCCATTGCTTTGGTAACAAACTTAAGCATGATGTTTGACTTCACAGTTCTCTTGTTTGTTTCAAAGTGGGCTGATCTTTGCATGTTCTCGTTGAGCTTTGCAGAATAGAGAATCTTGTTTTGAGCCATCTCTGTTTCTCTTGCAACAGCTTCAGTTTGAGTTCTTCAGTTTGAGTTGGAGCATTCAATGTTGGTGCCATTGCATTGAAGTTGATTGACTTTCCATCTCAAATTGATTTCACCATGTCTTCGGAACATTTCATTCCAGAAGCTTAGATGTAGTCAATAACTGTTTCTTTGGCATCTTTGTACGACGATCTTGCCTTTCCATCATTTTCATCTTTCGTTGAAAATAGATGTTTCACAACTGTTGAACTTGAATTGCTCTTGACTTTCTGAGGAGTCATACGCCCTCTTCCTCCACCAGATGAAGAACGTCCCATAGTGGGAATTCAATTGCTGTTGAAATATTCGGCTGTAAAGGTCAAGTACTGTGAAGCAGTGAGTCAACAACAAGTTTGAACCATGTGAGGCATCTGTATCATGATCAGAAGTTGCTCCATCTTCGTCAACCAACTCTTCATCATCAAGTATGTCAAGATTGGGAAATATTGGCATGCTGTCATGTAGTTCAACAAACTCGAGAGGATGCTGCTCTACCACCTGCTCCACCACTCCTTGATCAGTATTTCTTTCATCTTCATCATGAGAAAGTTGAGCTACCTCGGCTTCAGCTTCCGGTTGTCGAGTATTGGCGTATATAAGGAGTTCATGAAGGCAGTAAGATTGGTTTGATTTGTATCTTTTTTTCTTTCTGTATGCACTCTTTTCGTTCCTTTTGAGATGTTCCCCTTATGTGCATCATCAAGGGTTGGCCTCTGTGAACGTGCATGTCCTTTCATGGCGTACGTGGCTGTCGCTGCTGTTGCCTCATCAAGTTCACTCATGCATTTTGGGGATGTGTTGTAAGGCCCATTCCAAATGACCAAAATTCGATGTATGAGATTCGACGTATTTTGTCTGCTCTTCAACCGTTTTATACGTCGATTCAGAAACCTATACATCGAATTAATTGCGGGCAAATTGCGAGGTAATTAATTTATTGTATATTCGACGTATAGCCAATCAAAACTCAGAACGCCCCTATCCGAATTTCTCAAGATTCGAAGATTTCTTGTCGTCATTTGTCAATCATTCATCACCGTTCATAATTGAATCGCAGCAATGAATAATGATAGTAGAACCCCTCTCGATGGAAGGCAGCTTCTACTTTTGCTTTTTTCTGTCTGCATCTTAGAAAGTGTGCAATCCCTGAGCAGGGAAAACAGGGAAAGTCTACTTCAGACTCATATTTCGGAACAACATCGCATGAACAGATCCCTCCCAATCTACCTCCTACGGCCCACTTTTGACCAGTTCACAGCTACAATTTCTGCATCCCACTTCCGAAAGATGTTTCGCATGACCCAGAGTATGTTTGCCACACTATGTGCAACGATTTGCAATGAAATTGGACCAGAAGTGTTTCGTTCCGAGTCATTTCTTTCTCAGCGTCGCGAACGAATTTATGGGAGTCAGGAGCCAAGAGAACAAGCAGTTGCTCCTGTTTCAGGGGAAATACGAGTTGCAATTGGTCTGAAGATATGAAGGATGCTTTCAACTTTTATCTATCGTCATGTCGGATCTACATCGAATGTGCCTTTGGAGAGTTGGTGATGAGGTGGGGGATTCTATGGAGGACCCTTCACTTTCGCCTCAAAAAGTGCATGGAGATTATCAGAGTGTGTATGCTTCTGCACAACTTTATACTAGATCATCAGGAAGAGTCCGAGCGGTATAACATGTCCGAAGTTCAGAATTTCGACATTGAAATGGACCAACTGCAGCAAAACATCACACAAGCAACAGGAGAAATACCTCTGCCCACAGTCAGTGACAACAATGAGCCAAAACCCTCTGGCCGGCGAACAAAGGAGGAGGTGAATGAAAAAGCACTCGGCGAGAATATTCGTTTCAACTTGGCTTACAAGCTGGCGTCTGCTGGTTTGAGTCGGCCAATGGTAACTGGCATGCATACCAACAAGCATGGTCACGTCTATATGACGGAGTAGAAGCGTTGATTAACTAAAACCTAACCTAATTGACTATTACTTAACCTACTTAAAATAATTCCAAATACTAATCATCCCAAACACTAATCATCACCAAATAAGCCATTCTGGTCAGCTTCCTTGACTCTCGCCATGTAGGATTTGCGACGACTATTCCAAAAGCGTTTGTAAGATTCCTTGCTATCTGGTGACATAGACTCCAAATGAGCTGTGTTGTTTAGCTTTTCGAAGCATACATCTACCTCCGCAACAAGGGAGGCGACCGTATCTGTCTTGTTGGCGACCGTGTTGGATTGCATGCTTTTCATCAGATTCTCTGCAACATCAATCATTCTGGAAATCTTTGGCAAGTTTGTTCAGTTTCGGGTAGTTGTACTTCATTTCTCCCTTTGCGCTTTTGCTTGGCACACCTGCATCCTGTAGAGCTTCTGCAATCTCTTTTGGCGGAGGGTAGATATCCTCACATGTTTCCCATTGTGTCAGTTCCATGATAGACAGATCGGGTTGATTTGAAATATGATGACCAGAGGATGATTATATTGATGATTGATGTTCCCAGATTCGAATGCACGAAAAATTCCAAATGGCGCGAAAACGATTGAAATCGGAGTATTTTACTTAAGGGATTTGTCTAATACAATGAAAAATCAATGGTCATTCCAATTGGATTTGAAAAAATTCGACGTATAAAATCCGTTGAAAACAGACGTTGTACATCGATTCAAATACACGGAAAATACGCGAAATTCGTCCATTTGGAATGGGCCTAAAGTAAATGGCGCGCGGTAAGATGTTTTCTATGGGGTCACTGGCTGAAAATTGCTGTGACGGAAGATATTCTTCGTCAAAGGTGCTTCAATGCGCTTTTGTGTGCGAAAAAAAAATGACATCATTACCATCACAACAGCGACCCAACCATGGCACCTAGCAACCCCAAACATCCAATAGGGGCAAGAGTATCAACAAGGGCAATCTTGGTCACCAGCTTGGCCGAGTGGAAGGTACATCATCGTTTCTAAAGAAGGAGGGTGCCAAGGCAGAGGATTACTGCAATGTGTTGGTGATGCCTTATGGAGAACGGAATTTGGACACAATCTTCCGAAGTGAGCGGCTCGATATTCTGACAATTCAAACACTGATGAAGGAGATTGGAAAAGCGGTGGCACACCTACACAAGCAAGGACTGATACATGGGGACTTGAAGATGTTGAACGTCATCCGCATAAATGGGCACATGGTGTTGATTGACATGGATGCTTCTGCAAAGATTGGTGAGGATTTCGCTGGTGAGAAGTATTCGTCCGGTGTCATTCCACCTGAAATGATTTACCAGCTGGCGAACTATAAAGAGAAGGAAAAATATGTTTCCTACTTCCAAGATCAAAACAAAGAAGAGCAACAAAAGCGTGCCCCAAAGTTCACCACCAGAAGCCCCAAGATCGGATATGCAGTCAAATCATTCTTGGGACATGATGAGACGACAACATTTGAGGATCCAGAGACTGGAAACACTGTCCCTAAAACAAAACGTATGGTGACCTCAAAAGGTAACTTACCGATGTTCGAGGTGGTTGGTGCGGATAGTTCGTTCGATGTCTGGTCTTTTGGCGTTCTCCTGTATACGTTGTGCAGCAAGCACACTTTGTTCCAAGTGAACACTGATGATGATATCTTTGATGGTAATTCGATGCGAGAGTTGTACCATTGGGGACAAGATGATTTGGAAGTTGAATCAATTCTTGAGAATAGCATTCAAGATGATGCTGCCAAAAACCTGCTGAAGAAAATTCTTAAACGCCATCCCAAGGATAGGCCTTCAATGAATGAAATTCTTTTAGATCCATTTTTCAGTGGCAAGACTACCGATGATGTGAAGGAAACGCTGCGGTCTTGTGCAGGCCATCAGCAGCGATGGGAAGGAATATGAATATGTAAACCCCAATGTGAAGCCGTCGTTTGAAAAATTTGGGTCAAAATGCTTGGAGAAGCCATACTCAGCATCAGCACTCTTCTTCATGAATCGTTTAATAGGTTTCAAGAGTTTGATTGGATCTTCAAGAGTAGTCGTGAAACCGGCTTCACCTTGAACCTTGATATCCATTGCTTTGGTAACAAACTTAAGCATGATGTTTGACTTCACAGTTCTCTTGTTTGTTTCAAAGTGGGCTGATCTTTGCATGTTCTCGTTGAGCTTTGCAGAATAGAGAATCTTGTTTTGAGCCATCTCTGTTTCTCTTGCAACAGCTTCAGTTTGAGTTCTTCAGTTTGAGTTGGAGCATTCAATGTTGGTGCCATTGCATTGAAGTTGATTGACTTTCCATCTCAAATTGATTTCACCATGTCTTCGGAACATTTCATTCCAGAAGCTTAGATGTAGTCAATAACTGTTTCTTTGGCATCTTTGTACGACGATCTTGCCTTTCCATCATTTTCATCTTTCGTTGAAAATAGATGTTTCACAACTGTTGAACTTGAATTGCTCTTGACTTTCTGAGGAGTCATACGCCCTCTTCCTCCACCAGATGAAGAACGTCCCATAGTGGGAATTCAATTGCTGTTGAAATATTCGGCTGTAAAGGTCAAGTACTGTGAAGCAGTGAGTCAACAACAAGTTTGAACCATGTGAGGCATCTGTATCATGATCAGAAGTTGCTCCATCTTCGTCAACCAACTCTTCATCATCAAGTATGTCAAGATTGGGAAATATTGGCATGCTGTCATGTAGTTCAACAAACTCGAGAGGATGCTGCTCTACCACCTGCTCCACCACTCCTTGATCAGTATTTCTTTCATCTTCATCATGAGAAAGTTGAGCTACCTCGGCTTCAGCTTCCGGTTGTCGAGTATTGGCGTATATAAGGAGTTCATGAAGGCAGTAAGATTGGTTTGATTTGTATCTTTTTTTCTTTCTGTATGCACTCTTTTCGTTCCTTTTGAGATGTTCCCCTTATGTGCATCATCAAGGGTTGGCCTCTGTGAACGTGCATGTCCTTTCATGGCGTACGTGGCTGTCGCTGCTGTTGCCTCATCAAGTTCACTCATGCATTTTGGGGATGTGTTGTAAGGCCCATTCCAAATGACCAAAATTCGATGTATGAGATTCGACGTATTTTGTCTGCTCTTCAACCGTTTTATACGTCGATTCAGAAACCTATACATCGAATTAATTGCGGGCAAATTGCGAGGTAATTAATTTATTGTATATTCGACGTATAGCCAATCAAAACTCAGAACGCCCCTATCCGAATTTCTCAAGATTCGAAGATTTCTTGTCGTCATTTGTCAATCATTCATCACCGTTCATAATTGAATCGCAGCAATGAATAATGATAGTAGAACCCCTCTCGATGGAAGGCAGCTTCTACTTTTGCTTTTTTCTGTCTGCATCTTAGAAAGTGTGCAATCCCTGAGCAGGGAAAACAGGGAAAGTCTACTTCAGACTCATATTTCGGAACAACATCGCATGAACAGATCCCTCCCAATCTACCTCCTACGGCCCACTTTTGACCAGTTCACAGCTACAATTTCTGCATCCCACTTCCGAAAGATGTTTCGCATGACCCAGAGTATGTTTGCCACACTATGTGCAACGATTTGCAATGAAATTGGACCAGAAGTGTTTCGTTCCGAGTCATTTCTTTCTCAGCGTCGCGAACGAATTTATGGGAGTCAGGAGCCAAGAGAACAAGCAGTTGCTCCTGTTTCAGGGGAAATACGAGTTGCAATTGGTCTGAAGATATGAAGGATGCTTTCAACTTTTATCTATCGTCATGTCGGATCTACATCGAATGTGCCTTTGGAGAGTTGGTGATGAGGTGGGGGATTCTATGGAGGACCCTTCACTTTCGCCTCAAAAAGTGCATGGAGATTATCAGAGTGTGTATGCTTCTGCACAACTTTATACTAGATCATCAGGAAGAGTCCGAGCGGTATAACATGTCCGAAGTTCAGAATTTCGACATTGAAATGGACCAACTGCAGCAAAACATCACACAAGCAACAGGAGAAATACCTCTGCCCACAGTCAGTGACAACAATGAGCCAAAACCCTCTGGCCGGCGAACAAAGGAGGAGGTGAATGAAAAAGCACTCGGCGAGAATATTCGTTTCAACTTGGCTTACAAGCTGGCGTCTGCTGGTTTGAGTCGGCCAATGGTAACTGGCATGCATACCAACAAGCATGGTCACGTCTATATGACGGAGTAGAAGCGTTGATTAACTAAAACCTAACCTAATTGACTATTACTTAACCTACTTAAAATAATTCCAAATACTAATCATCCCAAACACTAATCATCACCAAATAAGCCATTCTGGTCAGCTTCCTTGACTCTCGCCATGTAGGATTTGCGACGACTATTCCAAAAGCGTTTGTAAGATTCCTTGCTATCTGGTGACATAGACTCCAAATGAGCTGTGTTGTTTAGCTTTTCGAAGCATACATCTACCTCCGCAACAAGGGAGGCGACCGTATCTGTCTTGTTGGCGACCGTGTTGGATTGCATGCTTTTCATCAGATTCTCTGCAACATCAATCATTCTGGAAATCTTTGGCAAGTTTGTTCAGTTTCGGGTAGTTGTACTTCATTTCTCCCTTTGCGCTTTTGCTTGGCACACCTGCATCCTGTAGAGCTTCTGCAATCTCTTTTGGCGGAGGGTAGATATCCTCACATGTTTCCCATTGTGTCAGTTCCATGATAGACAGATCGGGTTGATTTGAAATATGATGACCAGAGGATGATTATATTGATGATTGATGTTCCCAGATTCGAATGCACGAAAAATTCCAAATGGCGCGAAAACGATTGAAATCGGAGTATTTTACTTAAGGGATTTGTCTAATACAATGAAAAATCAATGGTCATTCCAATTGGATTTGAAAAAATTCGACGTATAAAATCCGTTGAAAACAGACGTTGTACATCGATTCAAATACACGGAAAATACGCGAAATTCGTCCATTTGGAATGGGCCTAAAGTAAATGGCGCGCGGTAAGATGTTTTCTATGGGGTCACTGGCTGAAAATTGCTGTGACGGAAGATATTCTTCGTCAAAGGTGCTTCAATGCGCTTTTGTGTGCGAAAAAAAAATGACATCATTACCATCACAACAGCGACCCAACCATGGCACCTAGCAACCCCAAACATCCAATAGGGGCAAGAGTATCAACAAGGGCAATCTTGGTCACCAGCTTGGCCGAGTGGAAGGTACATCATCGTTTCTAAAGAAGGAGGGTGCCAAGGCAGAGGATTACTGCAATGTGTTGGTGATGCCTTATGGAGAACGGAATTTGGACACAATCTTCCGAAGTGAGCGGCTCGATATTCTGACAATTCAAACACTGA